CGTGTGTTACTTCTTGTTTTTAATAAATTTTAGTGTCCTTTCAAAAAGTATTACTTGTTTCCATGGCGACATCGTGACATGAGCTGACAACAGAGGGAAGCGGCATGCAGATTGTAAACATCCTTGTTGTTTATTTTGGAGTGAAATTAATCCGGTATGAAAATCAATCCGGTATTGTGTAATCCCAGCCTAAGTAATTTGCTATTCAATAGTTAGTTAATAAAGTTTTAATAGTTGACATGCACAAGTCGACGATAGCGTACGAATAGCCTCTGAGCGATAAACGCGCTCATCATTATGGAGGTACTGACACAGTATAGGCTATAGCACGAAAGATTGCATACACTAAATTATTCCCTTTTAGGATGCGCCAGTTTTATATTTATAAACAACAAGTTGATTTTACAAACATGTCGCTTAGAGATTACTTGTGGTTTATAAATATAAAACTGGCGCATCCTAAGTAAAAGTAAATAACTACAAAAAAGTAAAGTAAATCTATACAGTTGGTCTGTGATGTGTTGAACTATGTTGTCTATGTTTATCAAAGAAATATTTCAATATCAGAAAAAGTAGCAACCATATCTTTAGTTATTAAAAAAAGTAAAAGCCAGCCTTTAAGGTGACTAAAAATCTTGCCCTCTACCGTTTTCCACCAGTCATGCCTTTCCAGTAAATTTTGCATAGTCCATAAGGGACTTACATAGATGAGGATGTTTGTGAGTATTGGTTTTTGCTTTTCAATCATTAAATTACAAAATTTTTTTTTGTGAATACTTTGGGGATCCAACGTTTTAGCATCCTCTTTGGGGGTGATGCTCTCTTTCCATATGGATAAAGGAAGATTATCAAAGTATACAAACAAATATAATGACATGTTCAATCTAGACAAATGCTTTTCCAGTATCCTGGGCAAATAACATAGTTAGGAAATACTTGCAAATAAGTGACAGCTATTAAATAGATGAAAATATGTCATCATGCATGTGGTCTATTCTGATATAAATCTAGTGTTGTGTATATAAATTAACTGCAGCACTAGAGATCACATTGTTCTTGACAAATGAGGAACTTTCAAGCTGAATTGCACCATTTATCATGGCTTCTCTCTTTCAGAACACCTCATTGAGTACTATCAAGCAAGTTCGTCATTGTGGAGTCACAACGAGGCAGACTACCACACAAATTCCAACAAGGACATGCTAGTAGAATTACATGTAAAGAACTTAATGACACATTCACTCCTGAAGATATTGAGAGAAAGTGGAAAAGTTTGGTTAAGAAGTTGAGAAGTTCAAACAGGAATTTGCAAAAGGAACTAAGAAACCGTCAGGATCAGGCACCAAAGATATTTACAAATCCAATTAACTGGGAATTTTATGCTCAATTGCAGTTCATTCATTCCATATGTGATGACATAGCTGAGACGGTTGTCTCGCTAACAGGTCCTTCCGAGATCAAGTCCAGAAAATCATCCAGGCTAATGCAAAGAGATAAAAGGGAGGACAAAAGCTGCAATTGTTTGCACGTGCTGTGGATGCTATGCAAACCGGCCTTCTCCATCTGCCTCTCAAATGCCATTGGCTGACAAAAAGGAGCCATTAGCCTTTACCAATTATGTTGCTTTTTGTGTCCGGCTCAGAGGAGGTTGGACAGCAGGCCGCAAAGCATCATGGGTATTGAGCGTCTAATTCCACGCGTGGCTTTCATTGACTGTTGACTGTCGAGGAGTGAACATCTCTCTGACTACAAAACCAATATGGAAGCTTTCGAACGACAAGAGTGTCAGGCTGCGATACTTTGTGAAAACAGCATGTTATTGCTGTATTGTTGCGATCATCATTATGACTTGTGTTTTACTATATCAAGTTTACCTTTTTTAAATTGCATGGGACGTGCTGACATTTTAGCTTTATAAATAATCCGTCTGAGAAAAGGAATTGTGTTTGAATTTATATTCCCAAAAGCGAGGCTCTTCTTTCTAAGTTGGATGGCGTTAAATCTCCGTGTATAATCAACGTGAAAACAAGCGTAGTATTTAAGGTTGGTATACTACAATGCATTACAGTTATCGTATTATTTTAAAGTCAAATTTCCGCTTTGTTGTTTTTATTCTTGTACTTCTAATATAAATACACTGTACAAAATTATCAATTATGGCGTCATACTTGTGTTTATAATGCCTCTAGTTTGATCCTAGCTATTGTGTGTGTATATGTACTGTGTCACTGTGATACATATGTACATGTTTTGAGTTAAACGAATTGTTTAATAAATTTTTGCTGAAGTATGATGCCTGTTTGTATGGGTAGATTTTTACATATATGTGCATACAGTATACTTTTCATCTGTAAAATAATTTTTGTGTGTTCTAATATTACTGTAAATAGTGACACACTTTTGCATTAGATTTCTAATTTTAGAGATTACAGTGTATGTATAAAATAATAAAATAAAAATTTTCTTGTTATTGAATTTGTAGAAAGAGATCTACTCAAGTGGTTCAGTGGTTGGCTGGTCTTGAACCTGGTCAGGATGGATATGGTGATGAAGGTGATAGGACAGAAAGTGGTGACCAGTTAAGTGATCATAATGAAAGTGACGAGGATGAAATCACCCATGCTGTGCCATTCAAGTGCAGCAGTGCTGCTAATGAGAAACATTTATTTACCAAGATCATTTGTAACAGGCATGCCTTGCTATTCATGGACAAGATAAACCAGTGAATATAAGAATACGGCAAATGCCATTGAATCCAATGGACCCAAGTGCAATAGCAATTGATGTAGACTATGGAACTGGATGGACACATGTGATGTTGGCTATATTATTTGCACCCACTAATTGACACATGAGATATTTTAGAGGTCTATGTTCAGCATATAAAGTATAGGATTGACTTTTCATAAAGCGATGTGGTGAGTGGGAGACTCAAGTGGTAAGGAGGGGAAGGAGTGTATGTCGACAGATGTTTGTGATATAATAGTAACTGCCTGGATTTAGCAAGTTATAGAAATGATGTTATTTAAATTGACTAACTTTTTAGATTTTTTCAGCATTTTTACCTTTCACTTTATTCATTGCCAAACAAAAATCATTTAATTTAAGTAGGTGTGTATCTATAAGAAAACCGAATATCTGTCATGCGCACTTGTGCAACTCCCTCAAAATAGCAATATTGCTTTTTTATTGTGGCATAAATTTATTACTAGGACATCAATATGGTTCTCATTACCTATATCTAAACTTAAAAAACCATGTGCTATATATAAATAAATGCATCTAACTATTTCGTAACTGAATAGAATTTATTTGTCAAGCCATGTAATTAATTTTGAAATTGCTGTGACTTTATGTAACTCTTCTGCAGGAATTGAGCCTACATGAATCAAGATTACATCACTGACACGGAAAGTTGACGATTCAACGGACAATAATCAATACGCTTCCCAACATATTCCATAGATTTTTTACTAATCCTATAGTTTATTGTTAGCAAGTGATTACTGTGGCGGCTATTGTTAACACTCGTATTGACAAAATTTGCAAGCGATTGTTTTTATAATATGTTATGTGAATGTAAACTGCCAGAAGAATACGACAACATGATTTTATGCGATCTCTGTGATGGTTCCACTTTAGATGTGTAGAATATGACACTAGTCTAAGTACCTCAAATAAGTGGTTATGCAGACTGTGCACACCACCAGCTGCTAAGAAGCCTAAAATGTGTATGTAATTTTGTCTCCTTGTAATAAATAAATAAATCACACAATAAATCTTTTCAACTTGCAATCGTTTTGTTTTTAGATCAAAAATTCAAAATTTATATGGGGGGGGCGAAATTCCTAAAGGGGGGCGATATTCCTAGGAGATTTGCCCCCCTGGGGGGCGATATTCCTAGGAGATTCGCCCCGGGGGGGCGAATATCCTAGGAATATCGCCCCCCTTTTGAGAGGGGGGCGAATCTCCTGGAGGGGCGAATCTCCTGTGACACCGGCCTTCCAAACCCTCTCATTATATTAACTATGTTTAGACATTTTTTTTCTTTTTTTCTCAAACAGATTTTGAAATTTGCAAAATCTTGCAAAAATACAATATATTTGCAAAGAAATGTTTGTTATTTTGCTGTCGTCATGCAGTCGTTATAATGCAAATTTCATGCAAATAAGACCAATCAGTGTTCGCTATTCACAACAGTCCGCTACATATAATGAAACCAGTGAGGATGACCACCAATGAACGGTGAACCATAGCCACTCGCCCGCGATTATTGATTAACTTTATACTTCGCTAGTGAATACATTTCCACGGGTGTAAATTGCTGGGCGGATTTAGTACCCTTGCCCCCGGGCTTACGTTTCTCATGCTTTATGTACACATGGTTAAAGTAATTGCTGCCGCAGCGAGCGAGCCTGAAGCGAGCGAGCAAGGCAGCAGATCCTAATTTTGTTTTGTGGGTCGAAATCAAAATTTTCTATTTGGCGCATTGCATGACGGTACCAGTGAATTTTAACCGTGGTGCAGCGCGGTCAGGCATAAGGCAAACAGGCGATGTGATCATCTTTCATCTTTGGTCTTCTTTTATGGAAAGCCATAGCTGGCTTAGAGTGATCAAACGGCATTTTGTTGGGTGCTTTTAGCATTATACGGCGGTGCTTTCGGCATTATACAAGGTGCTTTCGCCATTATACGCGGTGGTTCCAGTATTATACGCGGTGCTTTCACCATTTATATACGCGGTGCTTTTGCAATTATACGCAGTGGTTCGAGCACTAATAATATGCGGTGCTTTTAATATTATACGCGATGCTAGCTTTCATTCAACATTATTTCCATATTCTTTCCATGACATGTATATGATTTAACGATTGCTTAAATTTGGTATGTGGTTGACAAATGCTTTTTGCCTATGGTCTGCATGGACAATGACATGCTTTTCTGTGTATATAAATGAATATAACGCAGCGAATGCGCCAAACAGTATAAACGCGGCTGAAATACGATATTAAAATCTTAAATGTGCCGTATGATTTTTTAATTATGTTTTAGAATTTACAAATGCTTTGTCATTTGTATTTATACTTGTACTGCATCACAAGGCAGTACGTAAGTGAAAAAATTCCACATGTGAGATTGTCTTGTATACATTTTTGCTTTCTTTGATAAACATTATTAAACACGCAAATTTTAATTAGTGAGACGCAATGTTAAATGTCACCTGCATGTCATTGTCATTGCCCTTTAACCCCTGGTCTAATTGGCCGCTTTTGAAAATGTTGATCATGACGAACTGCACCGCCAATTATGCAAACTTTGTGTTTTAAAAACGGGTTAGGATAAAACGCGGATACGGACGGACGGATGAATGAATGACGGACGGACGGACGGATGGCGACGGACGGACCGGACGGATGACATATATATGTCATTATATAGTCTGCGCGCAGCCGCGCAGGGTAGTTAGTGGCTTACGTCTT